TGAGAAACATTAGCATTCTAAATACGATGGGCACCCCATTCAATCACTCTCCTGCTGAGGCATGTGCCCGGGCCCACACCTGATAACCATCTACACAAGGAGAAGCCACTGGACGCATTTAGTACAGTTTCCTCCGTACAACTATAGCTTAGAGACAAGCAGCATTTAGTTTAGTGAGAGCTTATCAAACATAAGACCATACCAGTAATTTCTAAAAATCGATAATGATTTAAAAATTATTAGAATGATTTGATGAAAATGTTGCCTTGTAAGCTACATTACACTATAAAGTTTCGTGATACATAGTTTAGTTTAAAGAATAGAAAGGAAATATTTTTAATTTTTATTTATATACAGATTTATAGAAATACATTTATTTATAAAACATATGCCACCATATAGGTTGCTAAATATGTTGCAATTTGTCCTCAGATTGAGCAATGTGGAACTAGGGAGATGGTGATTCAGCTGATGTGGTTTGAGATGGCTGTACCCCTGACCCCAATTCTGGGTTGATCTAACCTGAGAAAAGATAAGTTTTACTTGATTTACAAATAAAACATTATTTACTGTTTGCTGCTGAGGACTGGGCCCACCAAACCTAGTCAGTAGTTCCAAGTCATCACTGTTCTTATACTTCCTGAATCTCTGTAGCCACAAGGTACAAACTGTACAAAAGAAATGGTTAAGTTAGGCTTTTAGTGTCTTTGCCAGGACAGTGTTAGATCAGAAGTCCATTCATTTGACAAATAGTTATTGAATACTTAAATGGTGTCTGGCACAGTTCTAGACACTGAGGATGCATAAGACAATAAAACAGGAAATCCCTACTCTCATGTAGCCAATGAGCAATTGCAGGTGGTGGGCATTATTCAAAGGCTAATAATGATAGATGGAGCTAAGGAGAAAGTTGGAATCCCATCTCAGCACTGTCTCACTGCACACTCTGCCCTCCTTGGGTTAGAGTCACTAGAGCAACATGATTAACAGCACAGAACCATGGAACTAGTCTACGCTGAGATAGTCAAACAACTATATGGGTGGGTGCCAGGAAAGGGCCTCTGCTCCCCATGTGCTACTCCTTTGTCATGACCTAGTATCTAAAATTCTGTCACTGGAGAATCATTTTCTATTATAACTTTTCTATTATAACTAATATATAACTATATAATTATAAAGTGTTCCTTGGAATCCAGTCTCTTGAGATATATTGAGTTTTTAAACAGTTCAGTAGTCAAACAAATTTAGCAAACCCTTCAGCTCTTAGAGATTCATAGTGAATTAGCATATTAAATATAATCTGTATGGATCTGTATCAGTTTAGGATGAAAAATTTGGGCATCTCTCTTTATTTTTCCAATTCCTTGCTTAAGCCTCCATTCCTCCATATACTAGGTAATTTGGTTTCACTATCTTAAGGAACCTTCATTCTCTCTGTTGTACAGAAACCTGGGAATTAACTTAGTCCAAAGGTAGTAGTCTTCTTTCAGAAGTCCATGTGACCAGTCCATTAACAGGTTCTGGTTTTAAACATCACTTCTATACAATGTCACTGTTGAAAACTGGTTCCATCAGGCTTCAGTGAGTCCTTGTCTTGCTTGGCCTTGCTGCTATGGAACACTGCGCAGGCAGCAGGGTAGCACTGTGCATATGGACTCCCAAGGCAACAGCTTATTGGATTTACACTCACACAATCAGCCACTGTTCCCTAAACACGACAGCTTTGCCAAAGTGGCTGGGTATAATTGGGCTTCTAACCACAGCTACACACAGGATCTAGAACAAGCTGTCCCCACAAACCTCGAGGCTCAGTTGAAACTGTCACTGAGCCAGACTCTCTCTTCTTGGGAGACCTTAGTCAGGGCTATCTTAGCCCTTTAGAAAGTTTTACCTAGGTTGAATCTCAAATGGGATGGAGATCCCTAGCCCAGGTCTTCATCCCTTTCCTCCTGGAGGATCTTTGGCACTCGGTAAGTTTATTTTGCCATGTCAGGAGGATACTGAAAAGAACAACCATTGTAAGACCACAGAATGTTCTTTTTCCAGAGACATATATATCCACTCACCTAATATTGGCATACTTAAGAGTATGCAGGGAGGCCAGACGCAGTGGCTCACATCTGTAATCCCAGCATTTTGGGAGGCCGAGGCAGATGAATCATTTGAGGTCCGGAGTTCAAGACCAGCCTGGGCAACATGGTGAAACCCTGTCTCTACTAAAAATACAAACATTAGCGGGGCATAGTGGCGCATGCCTGTAATCGCAGCTACTCGGGAAGCTGAGGCAGGAGAATCACTTCAGCCTGGGAGGCAGAGGTTGCAGTGAGCTGAGATTGCGCCATTGCACTCCAGCGTGGGTGACAGAGCGAGACTCTGTCTCAAAAAAAAAAAAAAAAAAAAAAAAAAAGTATGCAGAGAACTACCAATGAAGATCCAGGGAATTCATGTCTTAGTCTATATTGCTGCTTCTCCAGCTTCAAATGGGACATGAGTCACAACCTGGAAGGATACAGAGCATAGCACAGATAGTTTCATGGGAGCAAAAGGATAGGAAGAGAGATGGAGAAAGAGAGAGAAAGATGAAAAGCAAAGGACAGAAAGAGATCCTAGAACAGGAGAGGCAGCTAAGGGGCCCTCTGTTACATAGGGAAGGGGTATGAAAAAAGAGGTAGAAGGAAGATTTCCCCTGTTATAATGTTAAAAGGGACATGGTCTACCACAGAAGCTCCCATCTAATGCATCATAACATGTGATTTGCTTCAGGGAGAATCACATTCCCAGGAATTATGCTAAACTAAAGCCCTAAAACCTCCAGGCTTATTGGTTAAAAAGTCCTCACCTCTCAGTGAGGCAGGATTCTAATGGAGAAATCTCAGAACATTTTAAGTCGGGAAAGAAAATCCCATCATTTTCTGAGATAGCTTTAGACTCATTAATTTTCCTTTCTTTTCATTCTTTTTTTTGTTTTTGTTTTGTTTTGTTTGTTTGTTTGTTTTGTTTTGTTGTTGTTGTTGTTTTTTGAGACGCTGGATGCAGTGGGGCGAACTCGGCTCACTGTAAGCTCCGCCTCCCGGGTTCACGCCATTCTCCTGCCTCAGCCTCCGGAGTAGCTGCAACCACAGGCGCCCGCCACCACGCCGGGCTAATTTTTTTTGTATTTTTAGTAGAGACGGGGTTTCACCGTGTTAGCCAGGATAGTTTCGATCTGCTGACCTCGTGATCCGCCCGTCTCGGCCTCCCAAAGTGCTGGGATTACAGGCGTGAGTCATTGCGCCTGGCAGACTCATTAATTTTCCCACACTAAAATGGTCAAAATCTCTATGGTGAGGGGAAAGACATTGAACTTATGTGATATTCTTAAACCCTTCATTCTCACTGATACTTCTCCTTCTCTATTTTCTCAAATATTTTACATAAAGCAACTTAAGACATAAAATAAACCATAGACATAAGATAGCTTAAGACACACAATAAACCACTTAAAATTGTTAAATCTTTCTGATGTCAAGATATTTACACTTGAGCCATCCTGGACCAATCAACACAAGTCACTAACATAGAGTGAGGAAGCAGAGTAAAAATTCTGTAAGGTGGTAACAATCTGGGGGCAATTTTTGTTAATTCATCCCCAAAGAAGGAGGCTTATTTAGAATATTAGTATTAAGGGCAAAGATTAATTTGATCAAATTGTCGTTTGATAGAAGACAGTGTTATAGAAAGGTGTGGTTTTTTTTGTAGAATTGTTACTATGCTTTAAGCTTTCAGTGGACAGAGGTGACTCTCTAACACATACCCAATCCTCTGGAATAACAAGTTATATTTCAACAGGATTATACTGTATGTAATATAGTTCATGTGTTTAGAGATTAAATATCCAGAGAAAATATCATCATTGCCTATATCCTGGCATTTCATGTGTCCTATCTGATATGTATTCACATAAAGGGAGCAAGTTTTAGTTATCTAATACTGTGTGGTTTTTATTATTTCAATTTGAAAATGCTTCTATTTAGATTTCCAGACATATAATTTTTAATATGTTTTATTAGTAAAGAATCAATAAAGGAAAAATTTTATAGCAAATTTAACACCTATAAATTTCCCTGTTTGCAATGTAAAAGAAACAACTTCCACAGACCACAGGTCTGCTCAAATTTCAAAGAATGTTAAATGAAATACTTCTAAACTGTCCTAAAGTTATCTTATTCCACAAAATAATTGCAGATTCATTGTTCACACTTTTATATAAAATGGTATCTGATTCTGGATGGATTTATTATATGAATGTGTTTGTTATTTTTAAGGTAGCTATATTTGAGAAGCCATATAAAGGTTAGATTATTACAAATTATGATTTTAATTGGCCTGAAAAATAAATGTTAAAAAGATATTGAAAACTTATGTCCACACAAAACCTGCATACAAATGTTTATAGCACCCCTATTCTTTTTTTTTTTTTTTTTGACAAAGTCTCACTCTGTTGCCCAGGCTGGAGTGCAGTGGTGCTATCTCGGCTCACTGCAACCTCCACCTCCCAAGTTCAAGTGATTCTCCTGCCTCAGCCTCTCCAGTAGCTGGGACTACAGGGTGCCTGCCAACATGCCCGGCTAATTTTTTTTGTTTGTTTTTTTTTGTATTTTTAGTAGAGATGGGGTTTCACCATGTTGGTCAGGCTGGTCTCAACTCCTGACCTCAGGTGACCTGCCCACCTCGGCCTCCTAAAGTGCTGGGATTACAAGTGTGAACCACTGTGTCCAGCCCCAGCACCTCTATTCTTTTTTTTGAGATGGATCTCGCTCTGTCGCCCAGGCTGGAGTACAGTGGCACGATCTCAGCTCACTGCAACCTCCACCTCCCAGATTCAAACAATTCTTCTGTCTCAGCGTCCTGAGAAGCTGGGGTCCCAGGCATGTACCACCATGCCTGGCTAATTTTTGTATTTTTAGTAGAGACAGGTTTCACTATGTTGGCCAGGCTGGTCTCAAACTCCTGACCTCAGATGATCCGCCCATCTCATTCTCCCAAAGTGCTGAGATTACAGGCATGAGCCTCCATGCCCAGAGCGCACTTCTGTTCTTAATTTCCAAAAACTGTAAGCAACTAAGATGTCCTCCAACAAGTGAAAGTATAAACAAACTAGTATATCGATACAATGGAATATTATTCAGTGATAAAAATAAATTATCAAGCCATGAAAATACATAGATGAATCTTAAATGTATATTGCTAAGTGAAAAAAGCCAGTATGTAATGGCTACATACTACATGATTCCAATTATATGACATTCTAGAAGGGGTAAAACTATAGAGATGGTTAAAAGATCAATGGCTACCAGGAGTTCAGAGTAGGAGGGAGGGGAGGTTTGAATAGGTAAAGCACAGGAGATATTTTAGGGCAGAGAGACTATTCTGTGTCATAATATAATGGTATGTACAAGAAACTATGCACTTGTCAAAACCCATAGACCTTTTCAGCACAAAGACTGAACCTTAATGCATGCAAATTATGAACAATTATTTAGGAGGTTGGACAATCCCAGGATGAAAACAGAATGTGACAAAACAATCTAACTTTATTACTCATGTATGAAACAACCTCACTGAAAGGTGTAGTGAGGGGGAAGTTGCAGACCTATGTAACTCTGGAAATGAGTGGAGTCTATCAAACTAAAGGTAAAAGACGCTGTATATAAACACTGTATTCCAGTTGATAAAATTGTTTACCATGAGGTATGTGTTAACAATTCTGATGCTGCTATATGTGTATACTGGAAATGAACGATTAAATAAGTGGCTGATGGTAGGAGTTAGGTTCCCACTGCTGGAGCAGGAGGTTACAGATGAGCAAGAGGAGGAGGCTCAAATGACTCATGTAGTAATGGATTAGAGTTGGAGCTATCAGTATAAACTCATGTTTAGGTTATAATAGATACAGACAGTTATGCATAGCAATATTTATAGATACGTGTATTTACACAGGTTGGTATACACAGTATATTTCCTTGCTCTGTCAGCTGAGAGGAATGAGAAGCTATGACACACCAGTACAAATGAGCACACCTACCTCCCAGATCTTGGTTTCTAATTTATTCTTCAATGAAAGGAACTAGGGCTCCTTGGAGAAATGGCTGATTATAGTACTGGGACAGGAAATACACAAGATGAGCCTGGAGCAATCTTTTAGTGCCAGAAAGGAAGAAAGTACTCAAAAACAAAAACCACGACCTTGATGGGGCATGCCATAGAGACACAAGAGGCAACGAAAGGAGCCTCTAAAGGCAAAAGCTGGGACAGTTTGAGCAAGGAATATTTTAATCCAAAGTATAAAATAATCCAAAGTATAGATAAATATACATGAGTTCATCCTAATACAAGTAAATAAATAAGCAACAATGGACAAATTTCATGTGAAGAAAAATTCCCAAAAATTTATGTAGTTACTCTGCCCTCAAAGGGGTAGAGTATAACTCCCCACTCCTTACATATGGACCATGCATAGGGACTTCCCTCCATAGAGTGTACTATGGAAAGAGGGAGAAAAAGAGTAAATGTGCAGTGGAGCCACATAACGAAAACGACTTGAGCCAGGTGATTGAAGTTAAATCAATAGTGATTAAGTCATGTTCCTGACTTTTTTGTCCATGTGTGATATGACGTGATGGAAACGGCACTTTAACTTTGTGGTCCTCTTTCTACAAACACATAACCCAAGTTTAATCATAAGACCAATATTAGAAAGATCTAAGTTGAGAGACATTCTACAAAATACTTCACCAGTATTCCTCAAAACAATCAAAGTCATCAAAAACAGGGAATTTCGGAGACACTGAGGAGCCTGAAGAGACACTACAACTAAATGTAATGTGGTGTTCTGGGCAGGGGATCCTGCAACAGAAAAAGGTAAAAACTAACTAAAAATAAATAAAGCATGAACTTTAGTTAATAATAATGTATTGATGTAGATTTATTAATTATAAAAAATGGACCACACTAATGTAAGAGTTAAATAATAGAGGAAACTGGGTATAGGGTATACAGGAAGTTTCTGTATTAAGCTAACAATTTTTCTGTAAACCAAAAACTATTCTAAAATAAAAATGTTTGTTTAAAAATGATATTTAGAAGCATATACTCATAGAAAAATGATAAGTAGAAGGAGCAATAAAAACAAACAATTAAACCCCTTATTTTACAAGGGAGAAGACTGAGGGTTTACAGTAGGACTCAGTAGCCAGGCTAGCCAAGTAGCTTGTGCTTTGGAGAGGACCTTGAGGAAGGAGTGGTGATCAGTTGCTGAACTTCGCCTTCAGCGACACCGCAACATCATTCATGGTACACAGCAGACACACAATAAATAATTATGAATGATTACTTCCCAAGAACCTCTCCTCTCCTAAGAACCTAATACCCTCACTCATTTATTCATTGACTCATTCATTCATTTAACAAATATTTACTGAGTGACTGGTTTTACTCCTAGAATTATAGTCACTTAAAACCTCTGTCCCAAGGACTGATATTTTAGCAACTTTCCATATCTGACTTTGTAGAAAACACCATTCAGCTGATTTAAGTTTCTGACTGTCCACGTAAGAACTGTTTCAATTCAAATATGAACAGAAGATGGATGGAGGAAACACAGTAAAAGAGAGAGGACTCTGTGGCTCACAGAGAGCAGGTGTGATTCATGCACACTCAAATTATGGGCTACGATTTTTTAAAAAGGTACTGTTATTTTAGGTTCTCTAATTTCTCATTCTATTTTTTTTTTTTTTTTTTTTTTTTACTATTTATTGTGGCAGCAGGCTAAGAGCACAGTTTTGTCTTGGTTTCCAGCTTGTGCTCCACTACTTATCAACTGTGTGATCTTGGCCAAGTGCTTAATTTTTTTGAACCCCAGTTCCCCCGTCTGGAAACTACCTCATGTAAGTAAGTTGCGTGTACTAAATAAGACAACATTTGTAAAATGTTTAGTACACTTAGCAATGTAGTTAATAGCATTATTATTACTAGTATCATTGCTATTATCATTAACATTATGAACTCACCAGATGCTTGTTTCTGTGAAACAACTTCGAGAAGATTAGGGCAATAACTCAGGACCTACAAAAGAATACACGTTGACACACTTAGTCAATCTTTCCATCTTTCTAGGTTTGGTAAGTGAGTAGGTTGTCTCCAACAAATCATAAAATTATTGCTGGACTCTGGGCTGTGATTCCATGGACCAGTCCAATGCCCCTCAGAGACTGCCAGGAAACTAAAAAGGTTATTTTCATGTTCCTTTCCTTCTTGGCCTCTTTTCCTGCCAAAGTTTATTTTCATATTAACATTACCATTCATTCTAACTATTCCATGGGCTCCTAAAAGTGGATAATTTTCTTGGACACAGGTCTCTCCTGATGTTCATTTTTCTGACTTTATTTCTGCAGTATTTAAAATCATGGTACTCATGGTTACATGAGTATCCTTACAATCTCTGTGTATCAATTCTGTTAAAAAGCCCAGCACTCCCGGGGCGGCGCAGGGGAAGGGGGCTGCCTTACTTTCTACGCCCAGGTGAAAGAGAGCTTGTGTTTGATATTCTGACTAATAAGACTCTCCTGGCTATCCCCATTATAGCCAGGGTTGCCCATCTGGGAATCCTAGCCATTCCCAAGTACATCATACCATCGAAACTGCATTCCAATATGAATGCCTCATGGAAGCATTTCTCTCCCTGCAGGGGAGGTAGCATCAGCTCATCCTCTTACACAACAGCTATCTGGTGATTCTGCTGTCTCTTCAAGGGCCTCACTGATGATTCCTCAGTAGAATCTGTTTTCCTGAGTCTCACTTCAGCAACACAAAGCTAAGTTTGGGTAATAGAGGTTATGTTGTTCAACCCACTTGCAAAAACCATTCTAAGCATAAACGTCCCAGGTTCAGTGGATATCTTAAGGGAAACTTTAAATAGTTTTAATCGAAGAGGAAACTCTTTTACTGAGTTCAAACATAGTTAAGTTAGTAAAATAGCTTGTTTCTTTTTAACTGATGAAAGATTTTAAAGGTAGTTTTAAGAGGTAATTTTGTCTTCAGTTCATCACTATTTCAACAAGCATATTGTCAGTTAGTTTTCAATAAGTGCAATTATTTTGAGGCCCCTTTTGTCAAGGATACTCACATAAAACAAGTCCTACCTCTGTCCTGGGAAGATGTGAGCTGTGAAGGCTGAAACCAGCTGCTGCTTCTCCCCATACTGCCAGCCTTGGTGAGCCCAGAAGGAGGCAAGCCTGAGGGAAATGAGAGAAAGGGGTCAATCATGGAACAGAGGAGGAGCAGATTCTAAATTAGGGCGAATGCATGAGCTCCCAGGTGGACATCAGAGGAAGAACTAACACACGTTCCTTTTTTTTTTTTCTCACAAGCTTAAGATGTCTGATATCTGAAATTATTTGTTTCTGAGACATCTCTTGAGACTTCATCTGATTCGAAGGATTTGGCTGTTTTTGGTGTTTTTCTTTATTTTTCAATTTTGGGAGGTTTTTTTTTTTCAAAAGAATACTAATTAGATCCCTTTACAAATTTAATTTCAGTACTTTGAATGTAGTTGCTTAAATTCTGTATAAAATGTTTCTCTACTCATGAATCGGTCTTATCACTAATTTGTGAGGATTTTCTATTTCTAACAAACCTGATTGCACCTAAGAGTGACAACATATACCTTTAGAAATAAACACACACATCATCATTATCATCATCATCCTCACCACCATCGTCATCATCATCACATAAAAATACATAGCTGGACTTATTTTCTGGAAATGTGTACATTACATTTGTATGGTTTTACTTAAAATAGAAGCTCTATGTCACATAAAAGGTTTACTTTGGGAGGCTCCTGAGGCCATCTCAAAGAAACAGGGTGGTCTTCAAAGCTACATAAAGCGGGTTCGATAAGAGGTCTGAGTAACAGCCCATCAGGAAAGAAAACAAAAAGGCCTTAAGGCTCCACGTACAGGAAAACTAAGAGTGGTTTCAGATTTGGGCCACAAATTAAAAGCCACAAAGGCAGACTCTGTGATTGCAGGCCTTGGTTTGCAATTCAACTCCTTCTCAAATGGAAAACTCCATGTAATGGACATCAGGATGAATGACAAGCAATTATAAGTTCGATAATGTTTAATAATTCTTCCTAGAAATGATAGGAAGTCCAGCTAGTAATAAACACATGTTTGAAAACACAAGGGATTTGGAGGCCAGGGTCGAAATGTGCTTCTTAGGGGAAAACTTTCCTAAGTGGCTCAGAACATGATCCAGAGACAATTAGATAATTACCAAGAGCTGCTGTGTGCCACTTACAGCCAGCATTCATAAGCACAATGCCAAGCATATTGTATGGATCTCAGTGTTGCTGAATATAAAAATGAATCAACTATTTTGAGCAGCTATGAATTCAGAAACAAGGAGAAAAAATGAGCAACGCAATAAGGGAAATTTAGACAGAATTAGACACACAGGGAAATAAGAGTAAAACAGAGTAAAGAGAGGATCCATCTACAGGGAATGTTGATTTGCCTTGGCACCATACCTCTGGTTTAGATCGACCTGAGGTAAACAGGACAGATAGCTCTTAAAGTGGAATAAAGGCTAGTTTCCATTTTCCTCCTCATATTCACATATTTCTATACATTTAAATCATGCAAACAAATTAACTCCATCTGTGTATGGCATCATCTTTATTTAGTAAGACTCATAGCAGACTATAAATATGCAAAGGAAATGTGCAGTCCATTGCACACACACCTCTCATCTCCCTTCCTGAAGTCCATGCCACTTGCTCCAGCTTCAGTGAAATAGAGACCAAGCAGAGATTTGACCTCTGTCAGGGCTGGAACTGCTTCTGGTTGTATTGACCTTCACTTTGCTCTGCCTACCTTCATATCAGGGTGTGCATGTGTGGTTCTTCCAACACTGCTGTCATCAGCAGCCTTCCACTCACCTCCATTCTCTTGAAATACTCTTCCTTTAACTTCTATGATGACACTCTCCTAATTTTTCCCCTACTTCTTTGCCTACCTCTTGTCAGTTTCCTTCCCAGTTCTCAACCCAACCCTTAAATGATTCTGCTCTCAGTCCCATCATGAACTCTATAATCTATTCTAAGGGGCAGTACAGCATAATGGTGGGAAACAAAGACACTAGAAATACACTGCCAGGGTCTTGCCATTTTCTGGCTGTGTGTGTGATTTGGGGCAGGTTACCTGGCATCTCTGATGTTCCCCCATTTATAAAATGGGACTAATAATAGTACCTACTTCATAGGGTTGGAAGGAGAGTGAACGAGTTCAGATGTGTGAAATGCCTGGCACACAGTAAGACCACAGTAACTTCTTAGTGGTACAACCATGACTTCAGCTATCATTTAGTTGAATAACTCTATTAGTTATTTAGTTGAGATTATTTGATATTGAGTTGATTGGTTGATGAACTAATTCTCTAGACCAGGCTTTTTCCTAAGCTCCAGGTCTATTTAATCAATTGCCTACTAAACATTCTCAATTGTATTTAGGGTTCCTTAAACTCAACATTCACCAACTAACTCATTTCTGTTTTCCCACTCCTCCAGCCAAAACTTTTGTATTCTTTTTCCTAGATGAATAACAGCTCTTCCTTTTATATTCTTTTTCTAGATGATTAACAGCACCATCGTCCAAAGACCCAAGCCTTTGAAAGTTAATAAAGTTTCCTATCTCTATGCTAAACATAAACACTTAATTGATCATCAAGTCTTTTCAGTTTTCCTTCCAATCTTCTCTTCTGGACTACAGCAACAGCCGGTATTCTCTGTCTTTAGTCTCCTTTCCTCCCGGGAAACCATCCTTGTTTCACACTGCAGTCAGGCTTTTCATCCTTTTTAATATGTTTTCATCATCTTTCCATTCATCTTCAGGATAAAATCCAATATTTTTTAGCATGGCATATGAGGTACTTCACCAATTTGCTGCTCCTTATCTCTCAAATTTCATCTCCTACCATCTTTGGTTTGAGCCAAATGAAACTACCTATAACCTCCAAAGGCGTCACCCTCTCTTTCACCTTTATGCCTTTGTAATTCAACCTGGAATGCCCTTTCCTCAATTGTCTGTGTAGATAATTCCAACTCCATTACAATATAATCTCTCTAATTCCCAGAACACCACTCCTAATCGAATTTTTTAAAAACCTAAAAGACAGTTAACAGATGTTAGAATTCCAGTATAGTTTGCTGAAAACAGAATAAAATTTCTTTTGTGCCTTTATTTCTAAGACACAGAATATATTTCTTTTTTAGTCATCATTTTAGCTTACCATTCACTCGTAATGACTCTTTGGGTGAGAAATGGAAGGGGTGGAATGTGAATTGCAACATATCTTCTGCCAAAAATTTGTAAGATATCTAGATAGCTAGGAAAACTGTGGAAGGGGAAGAGGTGCACAGCTAGCCATTCCCCACTTTCCTCTTCTCTCTCTTTCTCTCTCTCTCACACACACACATGCAGACACACACACACACTTTTCTTAAGGGAAAAATCACTCTGTGTTCTTTTAAAAATACCTCAGGTTTTATGTTTTATTGCTACCAGAGTCTGCCTCCCTGAGGTTCTTGTATAGACTAGTTATTTCCTTGTGTAAAGAAGCTGTTCAGTTCATTCTCGCCTGGTTTGGAACGAAATGAACACTTCCAAAGGAAGCAGTTCTTGCAGCCTCCTCATCTTCCACTCCCCTCCTCCCCGCAGTCCTGGCTGAAGCAGCGAGTCTGTCGATCCCAGGCCAGAGACGAGGCAGACAAAGGTTCATTTGTAAAGAAGCTCCTTCCAGCACCTCCTCTCTTCTCCTTTTGCTCAAACTCACCCAGTGAGTGTGAGCATTTAAGAAGCATCCTCTGCCAAGAAGACCAAAAGGAAAGAAGAAAAAGGTATGTAATTTTTTCTTTAAAAAAACATGTCAGTTGTTTTACTCCAAACTATTACTATAGATTAGAGCAGAAATGTATGTATGTGTTGAGTCAGAAGAAAAAGACAGAGATCCTCTGAGGAGATGGTGCAGGCACTTTGAAAAATATGATGCTTCCTAGTAGAAAGGCAAATAATCAGATTAAAAGAGAACAGAAAATGTATATTTCTTGACAAGGAATGTCATTTCATTATAGGTTTAAAAAGAGGCAGATTCTTCACTGTCATTTATTGAATGCCCAAATTCACTCTGAATGTTGTCCCACACAACAGGACTTATCCCAGTCCTCAGAACTATGTGAGGATGATGAACTATATAAGATTGTTTTAAATGCAGCAGCTGTATTACCTATACTACATGAAGTTAACTGCAACATCTAAGAAAGCCAATGTTTTTTGCTTTTAAAAATCCTGATTCCTGAAAAGAAACTGGTACAAATGTGGGACACAAAGAGGGAATTCATTGAATTCATCCTTGGTGTCCACTCTTGGAACACAACAGTGTCTGTACTGCTAATATAAAGAGAACACTTTTTCCCTCTGAGACTTAGAAAAATTCCTCTTTAAAATTCCTTAACTTAGTTACACAGGCTTTGAAAAGCTCTCCCAAATGCTGGTCCTTTTCTCCAGTGATGATGATTTACTGTGTCCAGGAAAAGAAGGAGAATGATGCAAGACTGAATATTAATATCATCTTCTGGCATGCTCTAAGAGCCTGATCACTTTTAGGGAGGATGTGGATTATGTTTTTCTATGGATGAAGTTATCTTAGATATTTAAGATGATATGTCTGTTTTAAGGATCTTTAAGCAGCTTATTCACTGTTTAATACTACTTCTGTTCTTTAACACATATTTTGGGAAATTTCACTTCAGGACTCAGTCCTTCTAACAAAAACATTTACTAAGGACTCAGTCATTCTAACAAAAACGTCTTCTAAGGCAGTTAATAAGAAAAAAAGAGAACTTTAAAAAAACAGTGATTTTCATCCTCCAAGAAAGATGAATGGAAAACATCACAGACTGGGCAGCAATTTTAATCTCTCCCAACTATAATTTTGATATTTCAAATGTCAAGTTCTGGGCTGGAGTTTTCATTTGCTTTTGCAGCTTTGCTTCTCTCTTGCTGCTTTTTTGAAAGCAGTCCGAAAATGGACTGTCTTTTCTGTCTAATTCATCAACTCTGTTTCACGCCACTGCTCTTAATACCAGTTCCCAGAACTGACATAAAAGCTGCCTGTATGAGCATTTGCACCATAAATGTCTGAACACTTAAACTACATGGTCCTGTTAGTTTTGGCAATTAAATGAGATAATTTTTCTTTTTAAGTCTGCATTTAACTCCAGCCATTCAAAAGTTTGCTTGTGCTGAATGCCCAAAATTTGCAATTCCCTACCAAAGGATGGTAGCAATGATTTATTGTTTAGTTGGAAATGTCTTGCTCATAATCCTGTATCCTCTGCAATGATCTTTTAAAACTTACAACACTATTAGGATATAAATGGTATCATACATTTGGAACCATGTTAATTACATAAAATCGAATTTATGAAAACAATGGATAACTACCTAAGCTTCTCTTGCTCACTCCTTCTAATTTTTAGTATGTAACTTTGTTTTCTTTTGTAATTTGGGTGTACTCCAGGAGGAATTTTAAGTACATGTACCTCAACCGAAAAAGAAAAAAAAGACCAATTTGCTTCAAATTGGCCAAAATCATTTCACTCTTGTTACCACTTGAACATACATGGTTTTGATGGATTGCTAAGGATTAAGTTTTGTGTCCTTTAATGAAAACAACCACCAATGTATCCCAGGAACACACTGGGTCAGAAATTTTTCCATTTGCTAAATAATAGTTAAAGCTATTTATCTGTACTTAAGTACAGGAAGAACATAATTCTGCATTTAAAAAATGTAGTTTATTTTATTTATTTGAGACGGAGTCTGGCTCCGTCACCCAGGCTGGAGTACAGTGGTGCAATCTCAGCTCACTGCAACCTCTGCCTTTGCGGTTCAAGTGATTCTCCTGCCTCAGCCTCCTGAGTAGCTGGGACTACAGGCGCACGACACCACTCCCAGCTAATATTTGTATTTTTAGTAGAGTCGGGGTTTTACCATGTTGGCGAAGATGGTCTCAATCTCTTGACCTCGTTATCTGCCCACCTCTGCCTCCCAAAGTGCTGGGATTACAGACATGAGCCACTGTGCCTGGCCAAAACATGTATGGTATAATGCGTTCTCACACACACACACACACACACTCACACACACAATTACCAGTAGGTACTTGCCAGGTGTGGAACTTTCCATTGTAGTATGTGACTGAGACTGCGGCAAAAAAACAAAACAAACAAACAAAAAAAACAAAAAACAAAAAACAAAAAAAACCCCCAATTTTATGCTCTGGCATGAAAATAGAAGAGGTATGTGGTATGACAATTTACCTACTTATTTTTCCAGAAATTTATTTGTTCATTTCACTGAAGGAAATTTTTTGAACACTTACTGTGAGCTCAGCATTGAAGCAGACACTCTTCTTCAATACAAAAGAAGTAGAAGTTACAATACTTGCTGACTTGATGTTAGCATCTCTTCTTCCAGTCCTCTGAATATTGAATTTCCCTAGCTTCAGCCCTTTGCCTCATCTCTTCTGGGTCTACCCTTACTGCCCTGCCAGACCCATAGCTATAGATACTATCAATAAATATCCTGATTGCGCTCAAATTTGTATTTCCAGCCCTGATCTTTAGACTCACATTCAACTGCCTATTCAACACCTTCACTTGGATATCTAATAGGCATCTCAAACCCAACTTGTCTAAAAACTCATTCCCGGATTCCTGCCAAAATTGGCTCCTTCCAATTCTTCCTCAGTTGAACAAATGGCAACACCATTCAAGCCAAAAACCCAAGAATCATCCTTGATTCTTTCCCTCTTGCCTCATATCTCCCATCGGTTCTCACCAAAAGTCTCTTTTCTTCTATTTCCAATCTTGTCCCACCACAATACATCTTCACAGACCAGCCAGGGATTTTTAAAAAAGGCATAAATCAGATCATGCTACTGTTCTCTCAAAATCTTCCAATGGCTTCTTAATATACCCAATACAATCTGAACTCTTTACATATCTTCTAGGCACTTCATGATTGTTCCCAATCTTCCTTCTTGGCTACAGGTAAATTCACATAATAACCAATTCACTAAATAATTAATCAGCTTTCTGAATTTCCCACTCCCCATATTCAATTGTAGTCATGTTCTCCAAATGGTTAACCAGCTTATAAAAATGTCGACAATGACAAGGCATTATTTACTCAAATTCACAGTTCTTGTAGGACAGATTATACATAAGTGCTTTGGGAACATAGAGCAAGGGAGCTATGAGAGTAGTATTGTCTGGAAACAGGGAAGGATTCTTAGAAGATATGAGTGTGAGGTTTGTCCTTCACGGATGCTTTGGTCAGAAATTAATGCCAAGGGAAGGGGTGAGAAGGAACAACAAGGCAGAGACACATACATAGGATTAAAGAGATGAGTGGCTTGACTGCCTGGCTAGCTGAACAGGAATGAATGATAGATGTCGAGACAAAGTGAAAGGAAGGCCTTAGGTTAGTTCTAAGAAGTCCACATATTCTTTTAGACAACATAAAATCTCTGTAGGCTCTTGCCTAGAATAAAAAATATGTTTTTGGAAAAGCATTTATTTTCAAGTATGTGCCAAGCATTGTATTAGCCACTGGTGTATGGTAATGAACAAAATAAATTGCTGTTGTGGAGCCTTTGGTCTAATGAGAATGACAGACATAAAATGAGTAAATTCACAAATATATAATTTAAATTGTGATAAATATCTTAAGGAAAAGAAAAGGGCACTATGAAAGAATAAGGTTGAAACTACCTTAGATTGAAAGGCCATGGAAGGAATGACATTTAAACTGAGACCTAAAAGTCAAAACAGCCAAAAAAAAAGAACATTCCTGGTAGAGAGAGCAACATATAGAAAGACCATAATAGAAAAAAAAGGTTTCCTTTTAATTATAAGGAAATACTCTATACATCTTTATTGTTAAATGCAACAAAATAGCATAAGAAAATATGAAACTCATTGATAAAGATAAGTGTATATACAAATACTGACTACTATATTACTAAAATGGTGGTGGTTAAATTCCATTTAATTCTAGCATAAAAGTTAAAAGACAAAAGTATTAAAATAACTATAATTTAAAATATGTTTGTGGATACCCAATATAAATAGATGTAAATTGTGACATCAATAACATAGTGTGGTGAGAGAGAATTAAAAGAGTAGAGTTTTTGTATGTGATTGAAGTTAAGTTGTTATCACCTCAAAACAGACTTATAATTATAAATTTTTTTTTTTTGGAGTCTCTCTCTGTCACCCAGGCTGGAGTGCAGTGGCA